TTGGACTTGGGACCGATCAATGCGGTCGGTGTTCGGAGTAAACAGTGGTCGGATTTCACAGGTTGTTTTAACATAGGCGTCTATGGAGAAATTTCGGGGCTACATAAATCGGTCGGTTCTGACAGTAGGTCGGTTTATCCAGGGGTCGGTTTTGACAGGTTTTACTGTATAACTCATTTTTTTAATTTGTTTTATAAATTACAAGTGTACATTATTAGGTAAAATAAATATTTGATTGATTTGATTTGATAACTCACTATAGTTTAGAATTGATGACTTAAACAACATCAAATTGACTGAATAAAAACAAGTTTGTCAATACATATGACACTGTATTCAGAGGCTAAGTTCATAAACGCACTGATTGACAGTGAGTCTTACACTGCATTGTCTCAGACACTGCATTGTCTCTAGTGTATTGTATGATGTACATATTGTACTATGGAAGTTACTATTAGAACCTAACCAAGGAAATTTTTTAATAATTGAAGAAGAACTTATTACACTAACTCATTTTGTTTACGAGTTTCATATTTCCGAATTACTAACAGTAAGATGTTTTCTAAGGTTGCTATATCAATGTATGATTTTCTGATGCTTCATACACTTGCAAGAAAATACAAGGTCACATGATCAATGATATAGTAACAAACTCTAGTACTGAATACCTGTTATTTTGGCACAGTACACAGGTTCAATTGCGTCCACTTTGGTATACAGCTTTTCACCTAATAACTCTTTATCCGCATGGCTTTTAATATTTCCTTCCCTCTGTAGTACTTCCATGGCAGCCCACACTCTTTTCTTCAGTAGTTCTGGATATTGTAGTAACTGGATCACCTCTTCATTACCAAGTTCTAATAACATTCCAGTGATTTTGTCGCTGTATTGTGGCTGCAGTGGATCAATGAGAGAGTAAAGGTGTTCCCCCAGCACCTCAGTAGTTGTAGGCAAATCAGACATGGTAAAAACTATAATAAAACAAAGAAAGTTGTACAATATACTGTTACAATCAAGGTATCATACTACTATCAAATTGTGGGAATATTGAAATGGCAGTTTTGAGAACAGCGTAAACATTTACAGTCAAACCTGTGTTATGTGACCAGCTCTATATAAAGACCACCTGCCATAGTGATCCCTTTTAGACAATCCAATGACATAACATATGAGCAACCTGTGTATAAAGGCCACCTGTTTATAGTGACCACTTTCAGCAGTCCCATTGCATAATGTATGAGCAACCTGTGTATTAAGGCCACCTGTCTATAGTGACCACCTCTATATAAAGACCACCTGCCACAGTGATCCCTTTTAGACAATCCAATGACATAACATATGAGCAACCTGTGTATAAAGGCCACCTGTCTATAGTGACCACTTTCAGCAGTCCCATTGCATAATGTACGAGCAACTTCTATATAAAGACCACCTGCCATAGTGACCACCTTTATATAAAGACCACCTGCTATGGAGATCCCTTTTAAAGTGCCTGTGCAATGCCCACCTTCACGTTTCCCATTTTAGATCTTGTGTCACACTGAAATGGACAGTATTGATTTTTTTGCTGAAAATCATTACTTCGTATCTTGTAATAACACTGGTCATTCAGTATACTTTTAAACAATATACATTTTTTGGTTGGCGTTTTTTTTTTTTTTTTTTGTCTATTTTATTTTTTTTTTGAGAGAGTTTTTAGATGTTGTGTTGTGGGCAGTTGCAGTGAAACGTATAGTCACAGTGTATGTATTCACACGTTTCTAATCGATTCGAAGGTGCGACATCACTTAACCTCAGATTCTTTTTTGTGTGTGGAAAAACTGTCCTCGTCCATGAAAAAAAAACTAGGTTTAAAGAGAAACGCCGATGACGTAAACCTGGCGGAACACTTTTGAAAGAAATAGATTCCGGACCAGCCCATGATCACCGAGGCTGATTTCAGAAGACAGAGAGATGTCCAGCAAGTGTTTCAAATGAGTTGAGCTTTTGTGATCCTGATTATCGTTTTATAGAGACCATTTAGTCCCTGTTAAGTAAAAGTAGCAATAATTTTGACAGTGACATGAAAACGAAGCGTCGGACAAACAGGAAATTACACAGCCCTTACACACTGCCAATTGTTTTCATTTTCGAAGACTAAAAGTTCCTGACTTGTTTGGTGTTGAATGTCGAATTCACACCTTTGTTCTTTTTTTATCTCCATGCTTGCAGCTTGATCTGATAATAATTTATGAAATAAGAATCCGGGCTTGGTCAATGTGTTTCTACCAAATAAAGTTTAATACAATGTTATAATTATGA